CTCATAAATGAAATTTTTTCAATTCTGAAAAATATACGTTTCACACTTTTAACAAGTTACGTTCCAATCTCTAGGCTGCATGGAAGGCTCTATGGAATGCCCTATGAAACATTTTAGGAACTAAGTATCATCATCGAGGCGACGAAAGAGCCCTTTTCAAAAACAAAGGAAAAAAGTTTTTGCCTCATCTGGAGTTTGCCTCATTGGTCGCTATCAAATAAAGTGACAAGGAAGTATCGACAGTGTGCAAAGTTCGGTCATATACAGTTCAAGCTCGAAAAGTTCTCATTGCCCGCTACGTTGTTTTTTAGCTAAATTCTTTCGTTTTTTATTTATCTGCTTAGACTTTGGAAAAAAAATTTAAGCAAGTCTTTTAAAAAAAAGGTTTTTTTTATTCCCTAAAGAAGCATATTTGAGGTTAGTTTGCTTAAAATGAACTCATTCCAACTTATTCGAGCAAGAATTTTGTTCGGTACGATGCTTGTTATACAAAAAACTTTATTGGAAATCAATACATTATGATAGCATATCAGTAGGCGGCGAACGCCTATAAATTGAAATCATAGAACATTTATTAGTCATAGATATAATCCTATAAATCCTCATCCTTAGCTCCATCTTATAGTGTATGTTATGAAAATCAAAAGGAAAAAAAGAAAAAGAATAAGAAAAATCTATAATCAGTTTTAAAAATTCATAGCAGAGTGCTCTCATGTATTCGTTCTAAATGACGTTATATGACGATATCACTTGTTAAATTTCTTCCAATTTTTTTATTTTTCAAATACCGAAAATCAATAAATTTTATTTATTGATTAAATTTAAACACATATTCTTGCCATTTTCATTCCTCTCTTTCTTTCTAACTTTTACTTCTTTTCTGCTTAAATCAGAAACACATTTGAGATTATATTACATTTTCTTGTCTGCCGATGTTTTTTTTTCTTTTTTTTCTTTTTTCTTTTTTTTTTTTGTTTATTTCAAACTCAGCTGGTTGCCTTTTAAACTGGGTCAACTAACGGCAACAACAACCAACATACAAAACATCGTATATATTTATAAAAATAGTAAACTTAAACATTATTTCAAGCTTGCACATGTAATATATATAATTGTATATATATGCTTCCATAGTTGCAGACATACGCACACACACAGGCGCAATCATTCGTTTAGCTGGATTTTGCAAATGATATGTTAGTTTTTATAGCCACAATAAAACCAACAACAAAACAGCATTCATTCAACTGTTTGGTTAACGTTGACGATGTTCGCTGTATATGTGCATATAGAATTTCATAAGAAGTTATATACTGTGAAAGCAATTAACATAAAAAACATTTAAAAATCTTTGCAATCATTTAGACGTAAAATAGACACATTTATCCGCGAGGTAAATAATTTTACAATCAGCTTTACCTTGCATTTTTACACTCATCGATGAATGTTGATGGAGTCGGGTCGACATTGCCGTAGCGCATTGGTAGCGCACAGAACTATCAAATACTGTAGACAGAATAGGAATTCTTTTTTTTTTTTGGAACAGTCAACTCAAATGTTTATCATTAGCCAAAGTGATTGATTGCGTCTGCTCAGTGCAATGCCTATGGTCTTTGCAAAAAATTAACTCTGCTTAGCTCGCGTAAATAAATGAAGGAAATTTTCGAGGTTTTTTAATAATTTCACCTATCCTCGAACGAAATGTGTTAAAATTTCATTAAGTTTGGTTGATGGTTGATGGTCGTGATTCATCAATACTAGCGACGTCTCTATATCGTCGTACAAACTAATTGAGCAAAGGGTTATATGTGACAATTTATTTTGAGCTGACATTGACATTCAATTAATTCCTTCCAGGTCTTAACAAACTTTTGTTTACACCATACGCACGGCTTGTGACACAAAAGTAGTTAGACAGATAGTCCGACTTTTTATTATACCGATTGATTCAGAATAACTTTAACAGATTTGTTCATATGAAAGTTGCTCACGCGTTTTTCTATTCAATCTATCGGTTGAAAATTTCGATTTATTCTCACGAAATTTGTTTACCTTACCGGATTTTGGTCTGTCAATGAAAATGGATTGAGTTGTTCTCCTAACAAATCTTATCCGGGGGCTTGAATGGATGCGGGATATTTTGATGGGATGGGACGACCATCTTGTGAAACGTCCCATACGTCCCTTCGTTGTCTATGTCAAATTCATTTATTCTAATTTATAATATTTGATATTGAAAGTCGATTCAGTCGATTTTCGAACACACCTTCGATATAGGGATTCTCGTGAAAAGATACTCGTTACATGACAATCAAGAATAACTTTTTATGATGAATATAGGCAAAGTATTCCATTAAGTGAATTGGTGCAGGGTATTTAAAGATAGACCTTGCTCGGCTATAAAAGAATTTATTCGGTTAAAAGAAATTTTTAAATTACAATACACTAGAAGTGAAAATTGCTAATCGTAAACGAGTGTTAAGTGTTTTTGTCCATTGACAGATAGTAGATGTGTACACAATTGTAGATTTCTTTCTTTCAGGAATGGGGTACATTAAGTCATAAGGACCGATTGAATTGGCTTATTGTCAAAAGTAAGATTCAAAATGTGACGATTTGATTGATTTCTTTTTGGTTCGCTTATAGTAAATGAACAAGCACCGAGAAAGGGAATAATCTCATAAAAGACAGAGAGTCTCAACATTTATCGTTTACTAAAAGAGAAATCCTTGCAAGTGTTTAGGAGCAAGTATTTTTAAAATATTTTTTTAAAAGCATTTGTTTTCTAATAACAATTTCAGAGAATTAATTAAATTGGAAATGATTTAAGTGAAAATTTGAGCAGAGTAAACCAATGATTCTTTCCAATATGCAGTTCGTTCCCGAAGGGAAAGTTCATTAGACGAAAGCCGTTAATGGTGGGAGCATTATTTTAAAATTTCGCTTTAGGTTATTTAAAAGAAGAAATGAACGAGCAAATCTTTATAAATAAATCATTATAACTGCTTTGCATATCTTCATAGCCTTAGAGATGTTTGTTCTTTTCTTTTTCGAATTTAACCTACTTTACGTTAATTATTCTTAAGAGCTTAAGAAATTTCTTATGTCACATGATTGACTAAGAAATTTGTTTTTATTTTCCTTTTCTTCATTTTTTCATTTTCTCATACATAAATCATTTTAATGATGTTTAGAAGAGCTGTTGTCGCTGTGCTGCTTGTATTAATAATTAACCTACAAGGGATGTAATTTGTTGTATTTTGATTGAGGCTAAAAATAAATCATAATTTTTTTTTCTCTTCTTTTCAACAAAAAAGAAACAAAAAAAAAACACTCATTTGCTTTGCAATAGAATGTTTGCAATAATTGGAGGACACTCCTATATATTAAAAATAAATAAAAGAAAAGAAAGAAAAGAAAGAAAAAAAAATACAAGTAATTTTACATGTGAGCAGACTTTCTAATTAGCCCGAGATAGTAAATCGCACACATAATATTATATATTGTGTTGTAATATACGTGGGCGGAAGGGGCGGTGCACTGTATAGAAAAATCCTATAAAGTTGGTGTTAATGTCTGTAATGAGTTCATATATGACTAAAATTAATGCAAATGGCATAGTCAAACGTGAACTTGTTTAAAGGACGGAAAAAAAATTCAAGACCAAGCAAGAAAATTATAATCGGCTGTGGCCGAATCTTTTATACGTACCAGCTCTCTTTTAAAAGGAAAAAAAAAAAAAAAAAACCAAAAAATAGAAAAAAGAATATGAAATTTTGGAATTCCCTTATATGGGGTGACCAAGTTTTCCAATCTTCAGCAGAGACTTGCCTCATAGAATGTAAATGGGAATTTTTATCGTTATATCTGTTAGAGTTTATAAGCAATGAGCAAGAGCTCCATACTTGTTTGGCTTTTGAGAACAAAGCTACATTACATACTAAAGGCTTGTCCTTTAACCCAAATTGGCCCATTTTTAATACCAACTTGGCCAGAATATTAAAATTGTCAATATATATGCCAACTTGATTTTTGCGATCAGGAAAATATTTATAGCAGTTATTAGTCAAAGCTACAGACAGACAGACAGACATGCTTACATCAGTTCAAAATTTGCTAACGATCAAGAATATATGTTTTTTATCCGTCTTTATTCGTCCTTAAAGCTTCCTTCTCGTTATTGCAAACGTTTTGATGAAATTAATATACTCGTTAAGCGGTTGGTATAAGAGCAAACATGTTATGTTATATTGGGAAATATTAGATAAAAGGATGCCTAAGTAAGTACAGTGATTTTAAAGGAAATTGAAAGAAAATCTCGTACTTTGCCGAGAATGTAGAGATTGCTATATAGATGATAAAAGCTTTACTTGACACAAACGTAGCTATTTAAATGCTTAACCTGTTCATTGAATTTCATTTTTACAGATAGTTTTGAGCACGAAATCCTTTTTCGAATATTCTTCTGTGGCATCAATAAAAGATGAGTGAGTTACCCGCTATCAAGTCAGGCGCTTATGATTTTTAATCGTTAATATATTAGTATACCCTCCGCCTAATATAATTCCTATGTGAAAACGAATTTGTAATCGTAGTGATATAACGTTCAAAAACTGTTTTCCCAACTTCGTTCATTGAAAAGTTTCGCAATGAGACAAAAAATCAGCATTAACTTTAAATTTTATCAACTTTATCGTAGTTAATTTACTAATCAAATGCATTGCCATTGACGATATTTCGAAAGGAGGAAGTTGAACTGATGAGAAGCCATTCTTGAAATAAAAACGAATTCTCCGCGGTGTGCACTGACACTGATCATATCAGTCAATTAAGTATTGTAATTTTATTTTATTTATTTATTTATTTATTTATTTATTTTTTTTTTTTTGAGAACAAACGCGGCCGCCGATCAACTATCTAATGATTTGTTCAGATAATTAGTAAAAAATAAATAAATAAAATAACGATAAACAATAAATAAATAAAAATGAAAGACTTACATCTGATGCCTGTTGATGATTCTGGATCGAGAATTCTGAAGGTTCAGTACAATTTGCGTTTGGTGTTCGCGGTAGTTCTGAAAAGAGAGTGAAAATAATTTGGTTTTTTTTTTTGGTTTTCCTTGAAATATTTAATGATAAAATTATTTAAGGTTTTTATAGATTAATAAAATGGAAATTTAGTTTTCACTTTCAGTTTTTCCCGCATGAAGAACATCAGAAAAGGGGAAAAACAAAAAATTCATTATCTTTTTCTAGTAGCTAATGCAGGTGTAACGACTGTGAAACTTTCCTTTCTTGCTTTAATGCCCTACACCGCTTGCGGTACAATGGTATATTAAGTTTATGCGGATGTATGCAACACCCGGAAAGAGTCGAGATAGATTCACTGATTATTATAATACCGATCGATTCATTTTTGATTTAAGCTTGTCTGCTCATCCGTCCGTCTGGCTTGCTTGTGTTTAATCTAGAGGCCGCAGTTTTTGTATATATTTTGATGCAATTTTGTGCACAGATGTGTTTTGATTCAACGATCACTTTGTCGACCACGTGCCATGTAGCACATTATTTTCGAAACTGGCTATGTTAGTAGCTGTAAGATGATATAGGGTATTTAATGACGGGCCGTATCCCACTATACTGGTTTTACTTGTTGTTTATTTATATGTAAGTTTTTTGTATATATGAGATGTTGATAATATTGCCACTTTGTATGTGTTGCTAATGAATAATGAAAACTTACTATTCTGCACAGTTCAACGCACACACTCTAACGCATAGTTAGTAATTCGTTTAGAAATACAGTTGAAACGGAAATTGTATTACAATCGAGGAAAAAGAAAGTAGAACAGCCCAACAACAACTTTATATATCAAGAGTTGTGAGGTTTATGTTAACCTTTTTCTCTTTGTTTCTTTTGATTTTAAACACGAAATTTAATAACACTAACAATAGCCTCTAAATATAACTGAAATTAGCTTAAGGATGTTAATTATGTTAATTTATTTTTTAATATTTCTTTCTAGGTTACATTAATAAGACCAGAGTTGAGAAGACAAGACTTGAAATTACCTGAACAGAAGATTAGTAAATAAATAAATAGAAAAGATAGAAACCCAATTGGAATGAAATATATGCTGAGCAATTTGGCAGAGTAAGTTCATGCGTCCTCTCCAATACAATATTTTCATGGATTTCTATGGCAAATGATAAGAAGTGGCAAACGCTTACCTATTTATATACTAAGCCAGTTTTCGCCGATTGAAGTCCACGCGCGGCTTATCATAATTGGTTGGTTGGCTAAAATGGATGCTCAGCCGGTAAGGACATAACACTTAACACGATTGGACACGCGTACTCTAGACTACGGCCACCAATTCCCTATCTCTTTTTCAACCTCTTGGCCATATTAAAAAATAAAAATCAAATAAAAGAGGTAAGAAAATTATATTCGATCGTGACCGAATCTTTTATATCCATTACCGCTATCCTAACGGTGGGGTTTCTGATGCTGACACTGCTGACACTCCTGATCCACTTCGTCATGATGAGTATAAAAACAGAAAAAATGGATGACAAGAGCCATTTGGAAAGCTTTACGTCAAGACAAAAAGGCGAAACAAAGTCTTCCTCAAATTTATTGTCATATCTTTTTTTTTTTTTGCTTTTCAAAGCACTTCTTATAATAGAAAATCGAAAAGATAAGTAATAGTAAAAAATAATCAAAGAGTTGAGTAAAAAAATTTTGTCAGAAATAGTGCTTGGGTATATGAAGTTTCGGTAAGAGATTCATCTTATGCGTTGCATAAGTTTAAAACAATCCTTTGCCAAAGGGAGAAAAGCAATGAGAGTCAACTCAATTCTTAATTGTAGAAAAAAAAAAAGACAAAGAGGCTGTAAGGGATAAGGGGAAAAGGAAAAACTTCTTAACATCAAGAGTAATTAAATAACTAAGGAAATGACTAGAAAAGTAAGTTAGCAGAAATTCTATTGTGTCAATTAGCATAACATTCTTGCGTATCTTGTACGATGTGACGGTTTAGCGTATAACAATTGCCCGTTCTTAGCTTTTCTTATTAAGTCTTTAGCGAGTTCGGGCCCCCCAAAGTCATGGTCAACATGCCAGTTCAACTTATCCTATTTAGTTAAAATGTATTTGACATCTTTTAGCAAATAAATCTAAAGACCTTTTTTTTTTTCTTTTTTTTTTGATAATAAATGCTCGCCGTCCTTTGAGTACAACATTTTAAATCCACTTAAACCATCATTTACCATCTTTTTGTTTTCTTTCATTTCTTATTTGTATTTATTTTCTAAACATCATGCTTAGCCAATTGCTTTAGCTTTTCTGCGCATTTTCATCGTTAATGCTAATGAAGGGGTAGTAATAGTAAAAAAAGGAAGGCTTTAAGTATTCTTAACAATCACTATTGACTTTGAATATAGCACATATTATCTCTCTTTTATATATATATATATATATATATGTACATATTGTTGTATGTGCGTTTTTGTACCTGTCGTCAACAGCAGAAAAAAAAAAATATTGTTATTTACTTTTGTATCGTAAAAGAATTTTATGCTTTATCGTGCACATGATGCTCTCGCTCAGGCATATCGTCGTTTACTTTTGCTGACTTATTGGATTTTGAATTTCAAATTAAACATACGTATTTTTTTGTTTAAGTTATGCAAAAAGAAATGAAAAATAAACATAAGTGTATATATGTGTATTTGAGAGATCTTGTTTGCCAACCATGTAATTTAAAAAGTATAAGAAAAAATAAAATAGAAATAAATAAACAACGAACAAAACGAAACTAACTGACGACTTTAACTGCCAATACTTAATAGTTTATAATCATTGCTTTTTTTGAATTATTAAATGGCTTAGCATAAAGAACTAAAACAAAAACAAGATGTGAGAAATTTTGTTAAGAAAAACAGAAAATCTTTATATCCCCTTCGAAGAAAATCCTAATTAGTCGGCATTTCAAGAAGATATATGACAAACAAGCTTTAGTCCGACTTTATTTAATCATGAGTATCCCGATGAGACGATCCCTTGTACAAAAAAATCTTAACTATCATCCCTAATCTGTACCTGATCGCCGAAAGATAAAAAAAAGCTTCATTTCTAGTCAGTTCGTAGCTTCTAAAGAAATTCCGTAATTATCTCATCGCGTTTCTGTTCCATGTCTAGGATCGATTAGGTTTACAATTTCTGTTGTTTTTTTTTTTTTTTAGTTCCAATTATTCCAATTTGCAGTAAAGTAAAGAAAATTTTGGAATAACAATATAAAATAATCGAATGAGTCGAATAATAAACTGATTATATGCACATATGTGCATAGATATTTGAATCTTCATTAATAAAGGATTCTGAGCATATCGGTTTTTCTAACCTTGAAAGTTTGCTTCTTTCTTAAGGCTATTTAAAGTTTTGCGATCAATTGGCCTTTCTCTCGAACGAAGGTATGTGTGCTTCTAAAATTAATCTAGGGAAATAAGTGTGAGACGTAACGGCTCAGTTTTGATTTTTATTTTAGCTTTTGTGGCAGAGGCGTGTCTTGAACGTCTTAATAACGAAGAGAATATATCATTAACTCTTGTTTCATGAGTTAAATAAAGATGAGAGAGCGGCAAACGTCATGTTATGTCTTGTTATGTTTTTTTGCATATTCCGTCGAATTCCGACTGAATTACTTCACGGTTCCGCGAGATTGCAGCAATTTATAATACAATATATCCCAGAGATCCATATTCAACTACGATACTATTTTGCTTTTGAGTTCCGGATATTGTGTTGAATCCATTTTTCTTCTGCATCTCTTCCAGTTATATGCCGTTTATAAAGTTTAATATGGGAATCGCAAGTCATTGAGTTTGAAGTACGAATATTGATGAGTATTGGCGATTATTCGCTAATAATAAGTAAAATTCGCTTTAGGGCACAACACGAATACGTGTAGTATTTGTAATTTGCGTTTTGCACTCGAACTACAAATTTGTGCTAACTATTTAACGGCAAACTATAACAAAGTATAACCTAAGAGTCCGTTGCGATCACAGAATAGGGAGTAGTTAGATGTTAGATGAATGCCATGTAATATTTTCGAAGTTTTCATCAAAATGCTTTTATTTGCAACTTTTTTAATTCAACTTTTTAAAAGTAATTTTGTTTGTTTTGCTTTTCACTCTCTTAAATTAAAAAAAAAAACTATATTTTTTCATACGGTTAATATAATATATTGTGCGCTTGTGTGTTTGTTCCTTTTGTGCATGTTATTCTAGTGATAGGTTTAAGGCTTCCGTTTATATCTTGTCTTAAGCTAAACCGACCTGCCTTGTAGTTCATACATATTGCATGATTTGTTTATCTCTCTTTTTTTTTTCGTTTTTTTGCGTAGATGATATTCTAGACATGTTGCCACCTTAAATTAATGAGTATAGTCTCCAACTAGGCAGAAGCTTAGAACTCTGTCCCTACGAATAGCTGGCGACTGAGTGTGCACAGAATACGTGGCGATATATTAACACATTTAAACTAAAGTGGACAGTCGAACACAAAGAGAACTTATGGGATGTATGTTTACATTAAAGTTTTCATATATATAAAGTTTATATATATATATATATATATATTTTTTTTTTTTTTTCTCATTTTTTTTCTTACGTATGTGGAAGAAGTCACGTTTCATTTCTTGATTTATTCGTGATATTACCGCAGAGATAATCGTTAGGTACGTGGAGACGTAAAAGTAAGACAAAGTATTCCGATTAAGGATTTATAGTTAGAAACAAACAAGTTGACATTATTGGAACAATTTGTAGGTAAGGGAAGTAGATGACTAAGAAATGTTTACAATTACCAATAAAGCATATGTGCGGAGGACTTCAAAAGGACTTTTCAAAGTTTTGCTAACCGCCTGTGCAACACTTGTCCACAAACACTTTTCAAAGATCTCATACATTTTCTTCACAAGCTTACCCCCAATAATTGGACTTGATATTGATATTGTCCGCAACATGCGAATAGTATAAGGCATTTAAATGAAGCCGCTTCGGA